ATCTTCCCGAGGATTACTAAAATGCAAAGGTAAAGCCAACCAACTCCTCAAGTGCGGATGTTGCTTTCCGCACCATGTTTCATCATGTGGTCCTCTTCGCCGGACTCAGCACTGCCAGGAACAAAGGGGCACTGGAACTCTGCTCTCTGCGGCTGGGTGGCTTGCAGCCAGGAACCAGTTCTGAATTGCCCAGCACCAGCTCAGCAAACAACCGTGTGCCTGGCAGCTTGCGGCGCTTTGCCGTGACGTGACGGATGCGGAAAACACCCTCCGGTCGTGATTTGCAGTCACAACTTGGCGGAAACAAAGGCTCACTGGAACCATGTGAAGTCCCACATCCAAACTTGAAAAGGAGATCTGGTCAAGGTGTGGTATTTTTGCTTGGCCGTGTCGCTCAAGGGTGGGTGCTATACTGCTAAATCCTTCCCCCCAAATCTAATCCGCTCAGAACAACTACGGAGTGAATCCGTTAGTTGCGCGGATCCCCCTACCGGTGGTTCCAAGCGCAGGGTGAGTGCATGCCAGCTTTTGCATGGCTCCATGTGCCGCAAGCTGAAGTCCAAGAAAGGAAAAAACAGAACATACAACGCAAAGGCTGGTTTATAGACGGGCCATGTGTTTGTTCCCATCGAATCCCATCCAAACTGGGTGGTGCTGGTAGGTCATGAAATCCCGACCTGTTCCAACTAAGTGAGAAAGCAAGGGAGCGAACGAGCCAGCATCATTCCCAATAACTATATCCCAAGCAACTATGCCGCAAGTTCAGGGAGTCAATCAAGCACAAGCACTTCCAAAAAGGGCCAAAAGGGGCCTGCTTCTGAGCGATCAGCTTTTTCTCCTCTTCATGGAGCTCGACCTCAAGTCGAGGCTGACTGGGGGCGTCTGACCACAAAGCCTGACTGCGGCATGTGGCCGTTGCAGCATCCGGATCATCAATTGCCGTCCAATATGGGACGGCACCACCCACGCAAATCATATTAGAACCTGGTTTTGTTGAACTTCGTTCCACTCCAGGATTCATTGAAGAACAGGCTGTCCTTAGTCTTTGGTCGGTCTTGTCGCTTGTGAGTTGAGAGTGGCTGGGGCCTTTGGTCTACGACCACTCCACATGAATTGATCCCCCCGAGACTCCGGGCAGTTCGCACCGTCTCCCAGGAGGGTTGCTGCTGTTGCCGTCTCCACCTCGGTGCGTTGACCAGTACGGAGCACTGGAGAGGGAGAGGACGAAGGGTTTCGGACCGGGCGGGGGGCAGAACACGTCACCTGGTGGAAGAGTTGAAACAGCATCCTGGTGAAGCAGTCCTACATCAGGGGTGGAGGTCAAATGACTGGCAGATCCATGTGAGGGGATCAACTGCGAAGCTATATAAACCCATTGACTTAAATGAGTCAACGCATCAAAGGAGTCAACTGCAGTCCAGAACCATCCTCCAAAAGTTCCCCCAAAGATGTTCTGTATGATGCTGCATTGCGATATGGCGATCATCCCAGGCACCATCCAGCTTGCAGCTAAAACATCCTCATGCCATGACTAACCCAGGTCAATAAAGGATAAGTCACAAAATGCGCTGCCTCTTCTTCTGTTTCTTCATCAAGCTCTTCTCCACAACCACCACAACACAACCACCACACTCCACCCGGGCGTCCGCGCGGCTTCTTCAAGCCGCCCACCAGGCGTTTCCGCCACGCTTGCAAGCGACTCTTACGACCTGATGCAAGAAAGGCATCGGACTTTGGACGGGATGAGGAAAAAGGCTTTGGGGCTTGGGGGACTGGATTGGACTGAATGCGAGGCCGTGCCACCGATGCCCAAACCAGCGGACATACTAGAGCATGCATCCGAGTTCCTTGTCCAGGTTCGGATGAGCTTCATGCCCTTTTCGTGACGAAAAGAACAGAAATCCAACCTTTGGGCCAGTTCGAGCTTTCGAACTATAGAAGACAAACATGTCAAACATCATTTCCTGCAAGGAGCGGTCCAACAGCAGGTTTTGTCTTTCCCGTGGCACCCCGGCGCGCTGCTTCCGCACTGGAGGAGGAGTAGGTGCGCTCCTGAGGCGCTGCTTCAGAAAGGATCCAATCTCCTTTCAGAATCCGAATGTGTGGGTCACTCGACTTCCTTGAGGCGTGCTCAAGGCTGCACGAAAGAGGGAGAACCTCCCGAGGGTCTACCTCTCTGGCTCTTAGTAAGCAAGCCACCTTCCTTTCGGGGATGGCCACTCCTGCAGCCACCATGAGCCATCTGCTGTAACTTCCCCAGTCCGGTCGTCGGTCGTGCGCAAAAAGATAACAATACATGCGTGACTTTTGGAGGAATTCTCGTACGAAACGCAACTTTTTGGGCGAGGATGTGCCTGGCGGACCAGCAGTGGAAGGGGACTGAAGGGCCTTGGACACGTACACTCCCCAAACTAATGTAATTTGCCCGCTTTTGAAGCTTCAAAAAATTAAAGAAAGGAAGCAAATACACATCATATCCAAACATATCCAAACCTTTTCTTTAGGTCCGAACGTCTTCGCTTGTTCAGAGAGGCAACACCATGCCGAACGCTCCGAGCTCTGAAGTGGAAGAACGGTATGTATATGTCATTGTAAGATGTGTTATATTATAAGCCTAGGGATCCAGTCGTACCTTGTCAGGTTAGGTGATTGGAGACACCGCTATGTAGGTTTGGAGGGTCCAGTCGTACCTTCTGAGAAGATACGACTGGATCCCTATAGGGTTATTTCTGCCATTTCTGGTGTCAGGTGCGGTCATGCAACTGTGGATAGATATGCCAAGGGTTCATCCCTAAAGGCAATTATGTTTACGCACTGGTTCTGTTCAGAGTCCCAAGCATGTCTGCGCAACCCCCCCAGACAAGGTCCTTGTTGAAGTGCTCCACTATCTCACCTGCTTCCGAGCCGATGGCGCCCACCAACCCCACCCCAACCGCACCACACTTCGCGCACCTCAGTGCCCACAGGGCCCGTGACCAGTTCGTCTCATGAGGCCTCCCTCCATCAACGTCACCAGCGGGTACCAGTCGTGCTCGTCAAGCGCTGAGAGACCGGCCGGCCGTGCTCTTTCCAAAGGTCGTGGGCGAAAACCTCAACGGCCCGGCGCTTGTCGCGTCACACGGGTCGGCGCGGTGACTGAAAAGAACTGAAACGAGTTGTGGGAAAGGGGCAGAGTGCAGAGTGCAGGAGCCTTGAAAACAGCATCGGACCAACAAAAACATGGTTGCAGCAAGCATTTAAATCATTCCAAAGTCCAATTTCTTTCCATCTTGGGTGTCAAGAATGATCACATCTGAGTAGGGAACCCAGTGCCATCTTCTTCTTTGGAAGGGCTTTGATGAGCAACCTCGGAGGATAACATCGGTTGCTCAGCTGAGGCGAAGCTGTGACTTCTGAACTTGGCACGTCAGCACTCAATGTATCAAATGCTGCCACCATCTAGTGTTCCATGACAGCCTTCACAACTCAGGAGGTCACTGAAGATTGAACAGATCCATTGAACATTGCCATGGGCTGTATTAAACCATGGCAGTGTTCGTTGCACGTGTTCTGGCGATCTTTGTGCCTCGGATCTCAGTTCTGCATGACGTTTCGCTGGTTGGATCGTGCGGATCTCTGGTTGGATCTTAGGAGCTTTCAACCAAGCAACGGCCCGGCGTTCGGAAGGTTCAGTCTTAAGTCCTATGGTTGCCATTAAACATCATTAAACATTGTTGACAGGCTGACAGCTGACCTCTTTCCAAATCATCCTGATCTACCAAGTAGTTCCCTGCTGCATGAGAGAGACGCTGGCGATGAGCACCCTGAGGAACCCTGTGGACTTTGGGTTTTGGAAGAATTTCTGGGGGAGGAGAATGAAGGAAAGCTCTCGCTGGTCCAATTCCCAACCCACTTGATCCACGCGAAACACAAAGGAAACACTTCCAAGCTTCACGTGTCGGCTGCCGATGTCCAGAGGCCAGATCCTCAAGGCTCTTGTCTCAAATCCTGAGAAGTAGGTATGTTTTTTGCAGGGCCCACAATGGGTTTTCTCCTCCCCACAGGTCAATGAACAGGTGATCCGGTCGGCTCTCCACCACTGGGACCTAGCGCCGCGACGCCCTTCTTCAGCTCTCTCGTTGTTGTCAGCGGTCGTTGTTTGGGCAGTCGGTTCCGATCATGGCTTGCAACCAAGGTCCGGGGCTTGCGACCAAGGCCTGGGACCCAAGGTGATCAATGGAATGCCCTTCTCAAAAGACAAGGGTCTTCGTCTTGAGTTGTTAGATCGACCGGGGGTCGCAGGCTGGCCCAAAACACATGGCTGCAAGAAAAATAATCTCGGTGATTTTGGTGTGAATTCCAGGAATTTCGTGAGACCCTTGGTAGAAGGTGCAGCAGGTGTTTTTCACCGCATGGAGGGCGTTCTTTAGTAGAAGTTTTGGGTGATTCAACTGCGGATCCTGATCGGTCGAGACGAGATAATTAGGTTTTCAACATGAGATGCGGCCCCAAGATCTGGGCATGCTTCCTGCCCTGTCACTTGCATCAACAGCCTGCACTGGTGGGAAGGTGGACTCCAACAATGCTTGGCTACAATGTACATACAGAACAATTGCAAACAGGGATGATCCACCAGAACTCTACCTTGATCCAAATGAGCTTTCACCCAAAGGGCCTGACTTGAACACCGCCCCTGGTCAACTTCACTCCACTTTTAGTTCTTCCAGGTCGGGCGCCGGTCGACCACGAGCGGCCACAAACGAGCGCAGAAACTAAGCCAGGTATCAACATCCAATCTGATTTCTAAAGGGAACAGTTGGACTTGCGAAAAACATTCTAAACACATGTTGCCAAGGTTGGTCAACCCTATAGTACCTATATGACCTATATGTGACTAATTATAGCTCATGGATGCTCATAGACTGGCGATGAGGTGACATGTCTCTATAGCTGGCGATGGCGCGACGGTGGCGCTGGCAATCTTGGATTCAGCAGCTCAGCGCAACCTCCCTTCACCGGTCTCAAGGCGAAACAGCACCTCCTGCAGGCGGGGAATCCACTACGAGCCAGGTGAGGTGAGACCAGTTCCGTCGCCCCCGAATGGCGATGTCAGTCGTGACCGGAGTGAGTGGGATCGAAGCTCTCGATGTCGTCGAGTATGGACTGTGGACTGACCCCAAGGGGACGCAAGACACGGACCCACGAAAGGCAAGGATGCTTAGGGAGGTCGGCTTCACCGGCTTCACCCAGTCCCTCTTTCTGTAAAGATCGTCATTTCTCTTTCAGCAACTTGAACAACTTGGTGAAAAGGTCCCGGGACCCAGCGCCAGCCCTACCTTTTCCAAGGAAGGGCATGCAAAGTCCCACCAAAAAGATCCAAAAGGTCAGACCAAAAGATCTTCCTTTTTCAATGCACACCCAGAACTTCTTCCTCACTGCATCATACGCGCCAATCGCCCCATCTGACTTGCACCTGCACTGGCTTCAGCTTCCCGTTTCCGCATCAAAAGGCGAATCAAATCACCCATGGGCTCTAGCCTCGGCAGGAGCCGGAGTCCGGTTTTCACGCTGGGGTAAGCTCAGCTCAGGGATGACGAGGAATCCGTAGTCTCGCTGATGACGAGGAATCCGTATGTATGACGATGATTCTTGTTGAAGTTCGCACTAGTCAGATGAAGCACCTTCTCTCCAAGCTTTGTTGATAAAAACCGTTCTGGTATGCAATGCGCCGCCATGGTCCAAAACCAACCTCCGATGCTACAACCGCTGCGATGCAGCAGGAATCGCTGACAAAAGAGAAAATACACAATAACAAATAGCCAGCTGTGATAAGCTCGGGGCATTTAGGAGTAGGAGAGTCAAATCCCTGTTTGAGACAAACTAAATATTGGAAGATGACATCAAAGCCATCAATTGTGGTGATTGTGTTCTTTCATGAAGTTTCCGAGATCTACAACCTAGAACATCCTAGAACAGCTACTTTCTGCTTCAAAACCGAACTTCGCATTGTGAGCAACCTAAACCTCGAGCCCTTCGTATGCTGATGTATGCTGAGGGAGGCACTCGGAGTCTTCGATTAAGTCGAACTCTTTCACAAAGTAAACAAAGTGCTTGAAGGAGTGGTTCCTACGCACCAATCTCTCGACATGATGAGAAAGCAACGCACGGAAACTAACAACACTGAGAATGGCACCGCAAGCAAACATACCAAACTTGCCAAACATGTTTTTTCATTGTTTTTGAATGTTCTTCCTCTAGCCAGCCGTGGTGTTCAGGGTCTGTGTTTGTCTTCAGGGTGCAAGACGCTCCTCACAGGGTCCATGTCAAGCTTCCCCGTCTGCTTTTTTTTTTTTTTTCTGCCGGAGGTGTTTGACCCACAAGATCCTTGACAAGGATCTGCCAACACCTTCATATGCTAGGATGCCCTGTCACTTGTTTTCCCAATATGGAACCACAGCTGTACAATCATGGATCATATCATGTACAAACCACTGTGAGGATGCCTGACACCACTGAGTCAGGCACAAATGGGCATCCGCATCACTGTCCACCATTTCCTGACCAGTCGACCACCGTCCCAACGGATGGGCGAAACGGCCAACCGCATCGTTCGGAAAAGGGTATGGCGCTCCAAGATGCTCCAAGTGGTAGGTGAAAACCATGGAGCGAGGGAGGAGTTACTATTTGGAGCGTTTCTGAAGGAATTTCTCGTGACGAAAGGCGCACCGCAAGGCGCACCGCCAGCGCCCCTAGTTCGCTCATCCACCGTCCAAATCCTTCCAGTACCGTACTGGTCTGTGGCGTCAAGACGCCCGGGAGCGCCCGGGAGCTTGCCATGTTCTGCATGACTTCCCCCTGTGAACGATCACTGTCTGAGACGTGGCGGTTTGACATACAGCGTCCGATCGCTGTATGGACCGTAGCGATGCCCTGGTGCTACACGGTCGTAGCAACACAATTAGCAAACATCTTGGCAGGTATTTCCCTTAGACATCCTTAGACATCCTTAGACCCTCATGTGCCCAAGTGGGCTTTCCCGCCTTGAAATGCGCATGGAAGATATGCGCATAGATCCGGAAGAGTCGCTTGTAGATGACCCTGATGCCCTGGCAATCGCAGGTCGGCCCACTGCCACGTCTGCGATGCCGTGATGAGCTGGAAGAACATGGTGGATTGGCGACGGTTCTTATATAGTGGATTGAGAGGACCAATGGCACAAACCCCAAGAGGTGGTTTATATGGACCCCTAAAGGACATCGGGTCTGTGCCATCTACTCTGAAACCACCACCGTATCATCTTATATCTAATGATTCATCATTCTTCATCTGAGGTATGTCAAAGCCCAACTTGTGGCGTCACTCGCACTCTAAGCGGCCCAAGACCCGCGGCCCTCTACTAAGACTTCTACTAAGCTACAGTTCAACCGAAAACTGCCGGTGACATCCGGTGACCGCCGCAGTTCTTTCGAAACACTTCGCTCTTCCAAGTGGATAGGGCCGCACCCGGGGTTCGCTTGGGGGCTAAAGCGCGTCAGTCTCCCACTCCCTGCACAAAAGTCCCCACCCGTCCCTGATACCTCCAACTCGGATCCTGTAACTCCCTGCGCCGTGACACTGGGTCCAATTCGACCTCTTAGTTTCACACGAAGCCCTACAAAAACCCTCACAAAAACTCTCTGCAAATCACACATGGCACACGAGCGTGCCGCGTGCCGCGATTGCTTCGTCCAATATCCCCGCAAGAACACCAAGACCGAAGTCTCATTCTACCCATGAAGACCTTTTCAAGGTCAGGTTCATCTAGTAGCGAAACATGATCGCGGCAAGCCAGCCTTCTTGAAATTGGGTAGGAACGGCTGCCCCTTCTGCACCGGCAAGAAGGTCCTCACGAGTGAGACCGTCTCACTCACGACGAGTCCTTGCAAAGCCACCGATTTGGGGGCACCCAATCAACTATAGCTATACCAAAGGATCTCGGCCACACAGAAATTCGCAGAGAAGAACAAACCAATACGTATGCTTAAATCAATGCATGCCACAACATTAAGCCCCAGCACAAGTGTGTCGGTGTGCATTTGGGAACCCGATGATTGAAAGATCGGCCAGGACCAACCCGCAAGCTACGCGTGCTCCAGTGCTGGGGAACCAACCGGCCAACCAGCCGGCTCGATCGCAACTCCAACACCATGGAGCTACCAAGCTACGCCTTGCACCAGGATGATCCAGGATGTAACACGTGGTGTTCACTGTGTGCTGCGCAGCGCGGTGAAAAAGCGCATTTGGGGCGCCCGGGCTCATCCGCTAGCTGGGACTCGACCTGAGATGCAGGATCGAAGAAGGCCGACTATGTTTCAATCCGTGGTGTTGGGGATGGGGATTGTTGGCCACGCATACGACGTCCTGGCTTCAACGTTCCGTTCAAGTTCTGGAGCGCCAACTCTGACTGCCACAGCTCAATTAAAAACTCTAGGGCCATCACCCAAACCAACAGCTTCTCCATATATTTCGGCGCTGACAGCTGCTGTGGCGTCTGGCAAAGGCTGCTCGGTATGCAGGAGGCCCTCGAATGTGTGAAATTCCAATTCACTGGGTTGTTGATTGTTGTTGGACTTAAACATTTTAAACGTCTGTTGAAGTGACATGAACATCAGTTTGTGCCAGTTCATTGGGCAAGCTCAGCAGACGTTCTCGTGCCAGTTCCTGGAGCGAAATGGAAGGTTCGCTGGCTCGTAACAGATCTCCCATGACGACAGCGATCCCTTTGGCCTCAAAACATGTTCAGAAAGTGAGTGAAGGAACACCCATTCCGATCCAGGTACAAGTACACCCTCTTAATGGAATGATCTTGGATGAGTTACTCTGTCCAAAGAGGGGAAGAACTGTGGACAATGAAGGATGCAACGCCAAACCTGGTGGACATGATTCGCATGATCGTCTATCCACCTGATCACTCCACCTGATCTTGTTTCAAATGCTGGTATGCTATGGTGTGCTGGGATGATTGATCAAGCGGCATCATCAAGCTGCTCTAGCTACAACAGTGGCCTTTGAAAACCCCGCGGTTTCTGCTCGAAGATCATGACGGGCAGGCCCGATTGTCACCATCAGCCCACTGCCACGCAAAGCTTCCGGCCGACATGGTCGGACAGGTGGCTTCTGTGCAAATGTCCTGGCATCCAAGTGCCCGACGTCCATTGCCGGCGGCCAAAAGTAGAACAGAACACAGGTAAAGAAAAACACAACTCCAAGTCTATAGCATCAAGATTTGGCTAAAAGGTTATATACACGCAGGTCTAAGAAAGGAGCCTTCAGAAACATACAGCTCAAGGGTCCAGTTCCACAGTTCCAGAACACCGTCTGGATGCACCCCAGGTTCTTCAGCGGCCATGAAAACAGGATGGCATCACGCTAATGGCCCCGACCAGGAGGTTCAACCTGAGCAAGGAAGTGGGGACCAGTTCCATATCAAGCCCTTCCAACTGGGCAATATCGGGCAAAATGTCCGCTTCTGGCTGGTTTGTGAATATCGGTGAACATGGTGCAGACTTGGCAAGTTAAAAGCAATAGGCACTCTGGCCGAAACTAGCTCTCCAGGAGATTGTTTTGTAGGGCCCGGACTCATTGAATAACTCCACAGTGTTGAAGGCCTCACTGGCAATATTTCAGGTTCGTCGTTCCCTGAACTTCTGAAATGGTGGATCAACTAGAACTCTCACATGCTCTCACGTACGTAGTGTAAACCAAACAACTAAGCTCAACGCCAGCCATTCCTCTTCACTACAACCTGTGGGTAGCCGCACCTGGCCGGTGGGAGCCTTCGCTTATTGCGTCTGGATCTGAAACCTGGGACTCTTCCCCGCACCGCCAAATACACGTAGAAGTTGGGTATGTCCCATTACACTCCCGAAAACTAACATAGACCCGGGTCCAATGGCCACTGGAAGAGTGTTTTCCTCTACCAACCAGTGGTTTTCAGGGTCCATGTTAGTCTTCCAGGGTGTACCATGTAATGTCACCGTGGATAGGTTGGCCTTTCCCCGCAAGTAGTGAACATCTTCTTCCGTTGATCGCCGTTTGACGATGTTCCTGGGACACCCCGTCATACCCCCTCCAACATGGCGGTCGCACCATCCACGAGTGCGGTTTTTCTCGGCTTCGGTGCAGTCCGATTGCCTTCTCTCGTGGGGTAACATGTTGTTTTCGACATATATCCCCCTCCGTGCTTTACCACTGGGGTCACCTGTCGGGCATTCTATGGGTGGCCAAAGGTAACAACCTCCCTAAAATGACTAGTGTGGGTGTTTTCAAAGAACGCCAAGCCAAATGCGGCAGTCGTAATTGATTTTTAATATATCACTTGAGGAATACTTGAGGGATTGAAATGATAAAACCAGATCTCAGTAGCAAAAACTGGGTTACTATAGTATGCAACACCACACAAACGAAACACAACACGGGGATAGCAAGAAAGGCCACACACAAATAACAACTCTAATAAAATGTTGTGAATGGTTCCGGAAAACCTGCTAAGAGGAACTCTCTATAGAACAACGGTCCAACACTATGTTTTATATAGGGCCAAGCACGGAGGATATTCCCCCCCATGTGTGCCCACGTGTTTGTCGCGTGGAACAGGGGCACTCTGCGCCTAATCGATTGACAGTTTCTGTGCAACCCTACCTTTCCAACAATTTCCTTGGAAAACACAGTCCAGTGATGACACGTGGGCCCCTCCCTATCCGTCCTACCACTGCCCCCAAAAAATGATTAATCTTCCAAAGCCCTTTGTGGGTTGTCGCCTTGGTTCATGGAAGGTTCCTTTCAAATTTGTGGTCTGCCCGCACCTTCTTAAGGGGAGTCGCTAAACCCTCCTTGATCCATGACACCACATCAAATCAAACAGTTGCCGAATTGCGTCAAAGTCCTTGCAACAAATCTTGCATCCTTGATCAGGTCACAAAGAATTACTATATTAGATCATGCCACCAGATTGAAACATAATCGAACCCTGGCATGGGCCGATGGGCCACCATCTTTTCCTTCTGCGTTAAATGTATCGCATGCACAAACAAGATGCACCTCCACAACGTGCCAGTCAGTTTCTGCCAGCCTGGGCTGCCAAATCCATACTTCCAAGCGTTCTCTGCCGCGAAGTGATGAGATCGGCATAGCCTGAAATGTGATGAGTTCGATTGCCCGAACATCATCCAACAAATCGGCCACGTGACCAAAGGCAACGTTCCATTTCGCAAAGCAGTGTCCACTTAGTGGGCAATCGGGTAAAACATGTAATTTTCAATGGCTAAAAATGAACAAATTTAAAACATAATTCCAACACCACTTATTACTGGGGGGCTGCTGGGATCTCAAGAAAAGCCACGGAATTGCAATGGTCAACCCGAGGTTCCGAATCCCATTGCAAAAAGGAAGTGCTCATCGCCCTGTCGTCCAACAGAAACACATTCATTCTTTTTAAATGCGCATTCATACCAACCAGCATCAACCAGCGCAACGGTTCTTCGACATGGGTTTTGTAGGTCCAGGCCCCCCAACGTGATTCCGCTGGTAACTTTCTGGGCGGCAGTAGCGTGGCATTTCTCCTGCATTCCGACCGGTCAGTGCGTTCATTGACTCACCGATCTCAAAGGAACATCTGTGACACATGTTGACGCGCAACATGCCACACAACAGCAAAAACAAAGAAAACCAACACACAACAAAATCAGAAACAAGCGGAATCGCAAGGAAGGGGCCCAGCAACACGGGAAACATCGGGAAAGCAAACGTCCTCCAAATACTCAATTCGGCTAAACTGCAATTTCCCATTTCGCATCACAGCACCATCACTTTAGCCGTTTGGGCACTCCCACGATGCGGGGGTCTTCACCGGCACAACATCCCAGCCTATCGTCCCGCCACGAGCTGGCCTGCGGACAGGAAAAACCATGTGAACCGTGAACCCTTGTGAAACATGAGCGGTGTTGCGAATGGCCTCCTTAGCGCCCGGCCTCCGGAACAGCCAGTGATGGCGCTCCTCCGTACCCAGCCAAGGTGGCTGGCACGGCCGCCTGCCGCGTACAAACAACACGTGGCCAACGTCAAGGGTTTCCTTGGTACCAAACCATTCAATCGTGTAGCATTCCGGATATTTCCCAGCCCCAAAACTTGCCGGTGCCAAAGGGTAGGGGAGGCGCGCGCAGGCGCGCGCCATATTGTAGACATGAAATGGGGGGCCCAACCCCCTGAGGCACCTAAGCCAAGGGAATGTGAGGTAAACACGTTTTCCTTGATTTGGGGAGGGTTGATGTCAAAAAACTCTATTTGCTGATGATACCCAACGACCTCCATAACGTGAGGAGGGGTTGAAAATCAAAGACCTTCAAAATTTCTCTTCGAGTTCACGAACTGATCACAACAAAATGGTTCAAATACAAACACAAACACAGTGACAACACGTTCATTTGCCCTCCTTGTGCAATGAGGTGCCCCAACTCCCTCAACATGCATTTGCGTCACTCTGCGTGATAGTGACAGGCTACCAAACATGTGAAATACAGAGGTTTGGCCACTTCATTTCGTAAACGAAAAAAAACAGATCGAAACTGCGTGGCTACTGGTTTAAACATGTTGTTTACTTCTGAGATTTTCTTAACGTTCCCACAACACAGGGGACTTAGATGTCACCTCCATAAATCATTCTATACGGAGAGTTGGTTCCTCCCATTCTATAGCAAAAAGCCCACGGGGATCCAAAAAAATATGACTCCAAATTTTGCGAACCATGATTGGCAACCCAGCCCCCACGCTTCCAATGAAGCTCTTGCCTCCCCCATGGTGCGCGACCAAGAAACGTGCTCTACCAAGCCGTCCGGCTGGGCCGAAAGAAGGGCCAGTCATGACAGGTGAACACACATGGTTCGGACCCCCCGTGCTCAAAATGAACATGAAGTTGTTCAATGTTGTTCAGATCTTGGGTGCTTTCTATGTTTGGCTACGTTTGGTGCAACGCCGGTGCAAAAGAACAATTCTATAATAAAAGGAAGCACGCACATTAATACGATTAACGGAAATTCGTACCCGCCAGAAACAATCGGGCAACATAGTGCCGCCGCTGGCTGGACGATACTGAGCGATCACGCGAAACAGTTCGTCGTTTTTGTAATGCTACCCTGTAAGTCAATGACCTCGTTAAACTTGTTCATATAGAAATGGAGACAATGACCACTATTTACTTTATTGGAGCCTAGTTCTACTTGGTCCCACTAAAGTTCCGTCAAAACCAAAGATAGTGTTCATGATCTCTTCAGGAAATCAAAGGCGATATTGAGTGATAACCCAGGTGTTCTTGGTGGTTTTGAGGCTGATTATTCGACATTAAGAGCAAAGAGGCCTGAATTGTTGGCCAACTATTTAGCGTAACAGGAGCGTAACAATTCCGTAACAACCCCCTCCAGGAGACTTCTAAAACTGCAAATTATCTTCCAAAACCGTCACAGGAACGTAACAGGTCCTTAGCCCCCTAATGTTTGCAAAATATAAGGAAATCGTGACCAGGGTATTGAAAACTTGAGGCCAAGGGGGGGGCGAAAGCTAGCGCTCCAGAATGGGAAAGTGGAGGGCAGCGAGGTAGGAAAAAACACGGCGCTCTTTTTGGAGGCAGGGGTGAAGAGTCCTTTATATGTGGCTCTTTGCCCGGATCCTCCTGCGAGAGAAGAGAGAGAAGAGAGACGGAAAGACGAGAGACAGAGAGGAGAGAGAGAGAGAGAGAGGAGAGAGAGATGAGAAAGAGATGAGAGAGATGAGAGAGATGAGAGAGATGAGAGAGAGACACAGTGAGACAGTGAGACAGTGAGAGTGAGCGAGTGCGGCCGCAAGATACGCAACGCTAACCGCGTGCCAAAGAGCGACGAC